GTAAAATTGTATAGAAAAATAAAGTTATATATCCCGGTGGATAGTTACTGTCGTCTTGTAGGTTAACTGCAGTAGTATATTGATGCTCAGCGATTCCAATATTTCCTTTCACTGTGAATCTGCTGCTATCCTTAACACTGTCATTGTCCATCGATTTGGCTGAAGGTCCATATGCTAAACCTCATTCATTTCACTGTCCATCTTTGATGAACGATGGCCCTATTACTTCAAGCACCGAGAGGGCTCACAAAGGGCCTGGCTTAACTAGGATTCGAACCGGCGCCGTCTTGGGTAGGCCGACTTAACCATTCGGCCATTAGTCGCCCTAAATAAAGTTATATAATATTATTTTTGTTGGATGTATAAAATTTGCTTAATTTTAATTGATGTTACACGTTAGAGGAAAAAAAGTTCGTTTTGATGAGACCTATTTTTGGATTTTAATTGCGGATTCACCTTGCGGATTGCGTGAATGTGCAACGGCAAATGATGCATATTTATGCAAACGTTGTCCGTGCGTATATATTATAGAGCCGAAATGCGCAAATTTTATTATTAAAATGAGCGGATTTTATGATGATAACGGCAGGCATTTGCATCGCAAACGATATCGGTTTTATTAAAACCAACTGCACCAAACGTGAACCGTTCATGTTTTGCGCAACGTAGTGAAATGAACATACTGGCAACAAATGCACAAAACAATATTTTTTGAAGCGTTAATTCAATTTCATAAATCTAATCTTAACAACTACAAAAACACAATTTTCATAACAAGTTCCAATAGTTAAATATTTTTCAAAGAAATTTTCCTGTAATATCCACACGACTTCTTTTATATAAATATATTTGTTTCTGGCAAAAATTTGATGTATTATACCAAAATTACATAACTTTATTTATCTATAAAGTAATGTTATGTTTGCGATTAATTAATATAAAAAAAAATATTAAAAAAAAATCAATGATAAAGTTATAAATAATACAATTTATTATAAATTTTAATATAATATTTTCGATTTTTAGTATTTTATAAAATTATATTAATTACATATTTGTTTTAACAATTGTCTTAGAAAATTACGTTATTTCATTTTGTAAATAATAATTAATAGTTACATTCAATTAAAAATTATTTAATATAATCTTATTTCTCTGCGATTTAATTATCTTATGAAAATGGGGGTTTTTCTTTATTTTAATTTTTAAAGGAATATATTTTTTAAATGCAGCGTTCACAACTTTTTCTTTAATTAGTGTTTTCTTTTTATATTTTTTATTCAAAACTTTTCCAATTTATGCTGCATACAGTCGCATGTCTTTGCTCAATAAGAAAATTCGCTTTATAATGTGTTTCAAAACTTAAAATGTCCATAAGTTACTTTTAAAAGATTTACCTTTGCCCTAGATTTTTTGTATACATCAATAATATTCAAGACGAAACTAAATAGGAAATAATTAGCAAGTCATAATTTGACTAGAAACTAACTCACATTATTCATACAAGGTGAGCCAAAAGTCACTTTTATGTGTAAAAATTGAATAACTCTTTAGTTTATTATTATTTTTTATTGTTATTTTTAGATTTTATTCATCGAACTTTGTTACAACTTATTTATTGAGCCGCATAAGCATAGCACATACATAAAATTATAAGAACTTTGTTACACCAACATTCACTGTCACAGCATTACTAACTTCATTCACAAAGTAGTAGGGCCCTTTGACCCTTTTGTGATGTTACTCCACACCATACTGTACACTTGAGCGAGTGCAATTGGCGCTGGTGAACAACTCGGGGGGTTTGAAGTACCCTAAAATTGCATATTTGCTTATATCACTCAGCTTCATCATAATTAAATGATTAAGAAACTCGTTATTTTCTGCGGACAACACCAGAAAGCGTATTGCCCAAATTAGTAGTTGATGATAGTCAACTGGTAAAAGTTGTTGGGCCAATTGGACCTTGTATGGATGCATGTGTAAATGTCGTGTCGATGTTTCGGATGTTCTTCAACACTGTCCCGTACACAATCAATGTTCACCTTGTTCTACACTATTCTCGGTCTTCCTCGTGGCAAGTTTGACACTGAACCTTGTTGTCGGAACCGTACAATTAAACGATTAATTGCGGTTTGGCTAGGTGCATCTCTGGTGTTGAAATAATGTCAGTAAAATTGAACGACCATTGGAAAAGTAAAATTCTACCACTTTGGTCCGTTTCTAGTTCGTGTAATTTTGCATGTTGGTGTAACAAGGTTCGATGAATAAAATTTGAAAATAATAATAAAAAATAATAATAAACTAAAGCCCTGTATAATAAAACAAAATGTATAATTATAATAATTTATGCTGAATTTAATGATTTTCTAATTTGTTTACATTTGACAAATAATAGATTTTGTAATAATATTTTAATCACTTGTGCAAAAAAATTGTAATTTTACAGTGAAAAATCTGTATTTAATCAAATTGTAATTAGTAATAATAATCTTTATTAGTTACAATGCAACCAAGGGCTATCGACCTAAATTTTTCTGCCAAGAAAAAAACATAAATTGTCAGAATAAATCATATACAAAAATTGAATTCTGAAAAAAAAGTAAGTCAGATAAAAGTAAATCTTCTGAAAATGAACAAATAATAACATATTCTGAATTTGGCTGAAGAATGATAAAATTCGCCCGGGGCACGAACTATCCACCCTTCATGATGAAAGACCCAGCCGTCCCCTGATTCACATCCGTAGGAGGCTCCCGCTCCCAATCATCCACATCGAACATTAGAACATAAACATGATGTTCCGAAAAGCAGACGCGTAATTCAACATTAAAGTTGTCTGTAAATCGTCTTCTCAAGCGCTGCAGCAACTCTGCGCGATTTTCTGCATTCTTTGGAGAGTTTAGGTGTTAACTATGGTCATGTATTGTTATTGGCCTGTGAATTCTATTGTCCTGAAGGTCTTTAGGTAGATCACACGTCTTTTTATTAAGTGGCCTTACTTTGATGTTAGTTACACCCGGTATGGGTTTTATGCCATACATCGAGGGGGGGGTGCTAGTGGCAAAGTGCATCGGTTATGTAATTAGTATTTCTAACTTTAATTTACATATGCATAAAAATACGAGGTTTCAAGATTTACTAATTTGCAATTTGTTCTAATTAGCAAAAAAAATAGTTTCTTGTACTTTTGCACCTAAATTTGCATATACTTTAGTTAAGCATGAAATATTAAATGCAAATTTAATTTTACTCCTTAATACATGAATTTCAGTTTTCAGAATTTCTCATTGTATGTCATAAGAATATGAGCTACGATACGAATTGATTATTAGGAGATTTGATGCTGTTCGGCGAAGAGTTCTTAATGGAAGTCGGTGAGGACAAACTTGTTACACAAAGTGATTTACTTTCTGGTTTCAAACTTTTTAAATGGACTTTTTTACGCTCTTTTAATTCTATATACTTTTTTTTTCATTATTATTATTCTCAAGAAAGTTTTAGACTTCTTTTACAAATCTTCATCTACTTAAAACGACAATAGAAAAAAAAACTACTTTAATAATTTTTTTATATAATATTAACGTTTATTAATTATTTCATTAAAACTTAATATTATATAAGAATATTACCCATTTTTTTTTTATCTTGTCTAAAAATTGTGTTTTTTGTGTTCGATTTACTTTTTAATTCTAAATATACTTAAAACATGCAAAATAATAAACTTGTATACAGTTTTATTAACATAAATTGTGTAAATTTACCATATCAACTAATGATTATAGAACAAAACAATTGTATGTCAATTAACAATGATTTAATTAATACTAGTTCAACATAATTTAATTTATTTTCTAAATAAGTTTTATATTTATTTGTTTGATTATTTACTATATTTCTTGCATTATTCTGAGAAAATTTTAGACTTCCTTTACAAATCTTCATCTACTTAAAACGACAAAAGAAGAAAAAACTACTTTAATCTTTTTTTTATATAATATTAAGATTTTCATCCATTATTTTATTAAAACTTAATATTATTTTAGTCTAAAAATTGAGTTTATTTGTATTTGATTTACTTTTTAATTCTAAATCTACTTAAAACATCCAAAATTATCAATTTTTATATAGTTTTATAAAAATAAATTCAATAAATCTACCATAATTAACACTAGTTCATCAAAATTTATTTTTTTTAAATAGTTTTTAAATATTTTCAATTGCAAATTTAACAGATAATTATATAAGTTTTATATTTATCTTTTTTGATTATTTAGTCTATTTTTTGCATTATTCTGAGAATGTTTTAATTTTACATTTCAATTGTAAATCTACATACAAATTAACAAAATAATCAACTTTTATACAATATAAAATAATAAATATAAAATATAGCCAGTTTGTGTCAATTAACATTGATATAATTACTAATCTATCAAAGTTTCATTTCTTTTTTAAATAGTTTAGAAATATTCTCATTTGGAAAGTTAGCAAATAATTATTCAAAGTTTTATATTTATATTTTTAATTATTTTGTTAAAGAAATTTTCTGCCTTATGTATAAAAGCATTGCATAATTATGGTGATAATAATGATATGTACAAAAAAAGCTTTTTTTATCTTAATATGAAAAGTACAATCCATTAATTAAATTAAATAAATGATATAACCACGCGTCCATTCATCAAGTCTCCACTTTAGCAACGCGGAAAGGCGTAATATAAATCCTATTTTTCGTTTTCCTACCATTAAACTTCCGTTAATCAGTTGTAATCACGACGAATAAAGGCGATGCCTATCGTGCTGATGAATGTGCGGGCATACTTTTTTTTTCTGTGTGAATGTGTGTGTGTGTGTTTTGTCCATACAAAAGGTGAATTTTGGGGAAGGGTTTGAAAGCATTACGAACGACACCCACGCACCCTTAAGGGAACAATAAATACACCGGTTTAAATGGGTTAAATCGTCCGAATCAGTAATTTGATCCTCGTTAATTGCAGGGCGAAGTGGTGACGTTCCATCGCCGGAACAAGCTGATCTTCATCGACCTGGACTCGCCCACAGTGAACAACTACGAAGTGAAGATTTTGAACGACTCGTTGGGACTCTTCGACGTCGTCCTCAGGTCTTTCGAGGACAGCAGAAATGATGAAGCGCAAACCGTCATTTACTGCGGTAAGGAGTGTCTTTCTACATGTTGTGAAAACCGCCCACGCTTGGATCTAATTAAGCTTATGTAATTTTCTCATGTTCTTTTTTTTCAGAATTAATTTTCGCCAAAACCATGCATGTCCCTCGTTTGCCGTACGAGGTCATCTTTCAACTGAATGACACAAACCTCCTTCCAGGATCTGGGAATAAAAGCCTGGTGAGTTCTGCCTCAAAAATATCGTAATTAAATGAGAATTAGCATCGATTTCCGAAAATCCATCTGCCACATATGAAATATTCAAATAAACCCACCCACATGAGATTTTTTGTCACCAACATCAAATATTTAATTACATTTAGATATAAAATTAATAATAAGTCATATCAACAACCTTTCAAACTATTATTATCATATCTTATTATAAACTAAAACTTTAATTATATTTTCTCTATAGTCAAATTCGAGTCAAGAAATATTTTTCTATGATTTGCAAAAACCAAGTTCATATAAAAACTCACTTAACAATTATTTTTATTATGTCTTATTATGAACTAAAACTTTATTTATTTCTATGTAGTTAAACTCAAGTTAAGTATTTCCCTATGCTTTTCAAAGACTCAATTCATTCAAAAACTCTTTTAATAATAAGTTATAGCAATAATCTTCAAAACTATTATTATCTCTTATTATGAACTAAAACTTTATTTATATTTTCTATATAATAAAACTCGATTCAAGGCATATTTTCCTATGATTTTTAAAGACGAAATCCATTCTAAAACTCCTTTAACAATAAGTTATAGCAGCAATATTCAAAACTATTATTATCTTTATTATGAACTAAAACTTTATTTATATTTTCTATATAATAAAATTCGATACAAGAAGTATTTTCGAATGATTTATAAAGACAAAATTCATTCAAAAACTCGTTTAGCAAGAAGCTATAGCAACAAATCTTGAAAACTATTATTATCTCTTTTTATGAACTAAAGCTTTTAGGTTTTCTATATAGTAAAACTCAATTTAAGAACTAGTCTTTCTATGATTTTTAAAAACTCAATTAATTCATAAATTCCTTTTAAAAATAAGTTGTAACAACAATTTTCAAAACTATTATTATCTTTTATAATAAACTAAAACTTTGTTTACATTGTCAATGTAGTAAAACTTTGATTCCTTTAATAACAAGTTATAGCAACAATTTTCAAATTTTCTTATTATGAACTTAATCTTTATTTATATTTTTTATATGGTAAAACTCGATTTAACGGATGGAGCACAGTGAAAAAAAGAGCAATTTGTTCTACTTGCTCAAAACAATAATTTAATGATAAATTTATTAAATAAGAAGTATTAATCTGTGTTTATTGTAAAAATTAATAATATGTTCTAGTTTTAAAATATTTTATAAACAGTATGAAAGTAATAAAATCAATGTATCTTTATAATAATAACTCACACCGATTTTTATGATTATGTTAAAATCAGATAGTCGAACCGAAATTAATTTCGTTCCGGTTTACGGTTACGTTCCAAAAAGAATTCGAGTATTCAAATAGACTTCATCGATTTCTCCTCTACATTGTTTGTGTAAATTGAAACCGAAATAAACCGTAATTAAAATTTTGGTTTCGGTTTTTCAATAGTTTCGATTTACGGTTTTCGGTTCGACTCTTTGGTTAAAATGTATCTAAAAATGATGAAAAATTTGTAAAATTAAGTAAATAATAAAATTTGTATATGATTATCAAAATAATTAGTTTTTATTACAAAAATTAATAATTAGTATCCTTCTACTAGTTAAAATTTTAAAAAGTATAATAGAAGTGTAAAATATCAAAATTAAGCCCAAATTTCATAAATTATTTATGTAACTTGAATGATTATACAATTTGCAAAATTTCTCTAATCAAGTTAATAATTTCAGTAATTATTTCGAGTTTGGAAAATTGGGTAAATAATAAAATCGCAATCATAATAATATTATCACTTCATAACATAAATTTGACGAATAATGAAAGTACGTTAGATTTGTAGAATATCCAATGTTATATTATTAAGCCCAATTTTCGTTCAATTATTTGTGTAAGGGCGAAAATGGTGAAAGATAATTGCCGAAAATAACTATAACCATAATAATATCCTTCGGTTGGTTTTGAGGGGTGGATGCACGGAAAGGGTGGCGCACCCTCCCCCCATTTAGCATCGAGTCTCGCCAATGGTGAGGATAAAGAAGACCGGATAATAAAGCGACCGAAAGAGATAGAGTTTTTCTTAAGGGCCGACACGTTCCGAGGCGAAATTTATGTTTGACGCAAATGATCAATACAGTGCAATATCGAAGGCAACTCTATTACCGAAATAGATACACGATAGACTATTAAACTAATTGAGTTTCTCTCTATACCTGGGCCAAAAGAGCAAACAGATCACAAGAAACGCGTCAGGGTTAAACAATAGACTTATAATTAAATATACGTTATAAAAATGTTAGTATCTAATTAATTGAATAATACTATCAACCCACAAGGTTGATGAAATAAACTTGTAATAGGTGACTAAGGAGAAAATAATAAAGACTGCACTGCTTGAAACCGGACTAAGAAATTTATTTCTGTATTTTAATATTGAAAATATTCATGATTAATAAGAATTTTTTTAAATTTATACTTTTGTAATTTGTAATTATTTAAGTAATTGAAATCAACATTATTAGCGTAATTAGTAATTTAGTTATATTTAAATAAAAAAGAACTTTATTTATTTGGTAACTATGGAGAAAACTGATGAAACCGAACTGATCGAAGCTAATCATCAATTTGACACTTTTCGGATCTCATAAATATCTGTAATTTCTAAGATTTATTAATAAAGAAAAAACAATATTTAATGAAAACAAAACTATTTTGTAGTGAGGTTCAGTCAATATCCCGGACTATAAGAAACCGCACTAATCGAGGACTTTCAAACCGCATAAAGGAAGAACAAACTTTTATGTATAAATTGAAAATTACAAATTATAATTTATAGAATTGATTGAAATAAACAGTATTGTCATAACTTTCAAAAGTATTTAACTGACAACTTAATAAAAACAATATTTCTGTTAAAATTATGGAGGAAATAAAAATAAAAATCTTGAAATTATCCATGAAAAATATCATTTCTTTCTTAAATTTCTTGTTTATTTTTTGTAATTATTAGTTGGTAACTATGGATAAAATAACAAAAATATATGAATAATGTGAATGATTTTTGTTTGTAATAATTTATATAATTGGTTGAAATAGGACAAATTAATAAAAAAAAACATAATGATAAATAATTATTTAATTATATAAATTTAATATATAAAAAACCTGACTAATCGAGGAGTTTCAAACCGCATAAATGAAGAAAAACATACTTTTATGTATAAATTGAAAATTACAATTTGAAAGAGAAAATAACAAAATAATTTATAGAATTAGTTGAAATAAACTGTATTATCATAACTTTCATTAGTATTTAGCTGACAACTTAATAGAAACAATACTTCTGATAATTGGAGGAAATAACAATGAAAATCTTGAAAATATCTATGATAAATTTCTTTCTTAAATTTTTATTTTTTTGTAATTATTTAATTGGTAACTATGGAGAAAATAAACAAAAATATATGAATAATGTGAATACGATTTTTGTTTGTAATAATTTATGTTGAAATAGGCACGAATTAATAAAAAAAAAACATAATTATAAATAATTATTTAATTATATAAATTCATAAATTATTATAAGAAACTTTGCACATTTTTTTTTAAATTTCATCATTACATTATTGAGAAATAAATAAGTCTTATCTTTAAGTAATGATTGTATTTGGAACGTTTCCATTCTTCGATTGTAATAAGTTTTAAGTGTTTGGAATCTGTAAATGTTAGAGCTTTTATACGTGGAGGAGTTTCATTAGAGCATTAGATAAGATGCGAGAGGCAAATCCGCCGTAAATTCCGTAACATCCAGGAGTTTATCTCAAGTACAGTTTTAAAATATTTACAACCTCTCCCCATTCCCAAAATGGTGAATTTCGTGAACTTTAATGTATTGCAACGTCGAATACCAAGAAAGTGTCCTCTGAGAAGTGCACATATTAACGTTAATATAAAATAAATACATGCTTTTTTCCGTAAAAAGAGATTTACTGTATATAAATATAGTTTTGATTCAATATAAAAGTTTCAAAAATTGTTGCTAAACTTTTATTAAAAGTAAAATTTGATTGAATTGAGTTTACAGAAATCATGTACTTCCTAAATAGAGACACGATCAATATTATGTATGCATTAACAGTATTAATCTTCATACACCAAAATATAAATTTGTGGTAAACATATCGATTAATCCAAAGTCTATTGAAATTCATGCGTGGATTAATGTTATTTATTGAAATTGCAGGTCACAATTCCAATACATCTGCTGCATTCCACGAATTCCACCGACGAGTATCCCCATTCCCTTGGTCACATCACGCTTCCGTTAAAGGCGCTCACGCTTTACCGAAAGCAAATCATTTCCGTTTTCAGGTACAAAAAAAAAACACGAGAATATTCATCATTTATTACATATTTTTTTGTTGCTTTTTTCGTGATTATGTGCAGATCGGCTGGGCCCTTCGCGAGGATCGTTCAGCCCAGAGTCGGGTCGATAAAGGAAATTGAAAGATTCGTCCTATCGGACAACAGCACACACAACAAGACGTTCAACGTCACCCCCAAAGAGGGAATCCTCTACGTCCAGGACATTAGCTTATTGAGGAAGTCCCCCGCCGAAGTTAGGTAAAAGGAAATCCGATCAAATCTACCTTTTTCACTTATAATTATTTTTATTTTCGAATAAACAATCAATCAATCAAGTTGACACTTTTCTGATATCATAAATATGCTTAATTTCTAAGATTTGTTAATAAATACGAAAAAATATTATAGCAATACTTTGTGCAATGCCAATATCTAGGACTATGATAAACCGTACTAATCGAGAACTTTCAAACTGCATAAACGAAGAAAAACGAACTTTTATGTATAAATTAAAAATTATTTGAAACCGGATTGATCGAAGCTAATTATCAATTTGACGCTTTTTGCATCTCTTAAATATCCTTAATTTCTATGATTTATTAATAAATAAGAAACAATATTTAATGAAAATAAAACTATTTCATAGTGCAAATATTCCGGACTATAAGAAACCGGACTAATCGAGGACTTTCAAACAGCACAAAGGAAGAAAAAGAACTTTTATGTATAAATTGAAAATTATTTGAAAATTTGAAACCCAACTGATCGAAGCAAATCATAAATTTGATGTTTTTCGGATCTCATAAATATCCTTAATTTCTAAGATTTGTTAATAAGAAACAATATTTAATGAAAATAAAATTATTCCATAGTGCCAATATCCCGGACTATAACAAACCGGACTAATCGAGTACTTTCAAACCGCATAAAGGAAGAAAAACAAACTTTTATGTATAAAATGAAAATCATTTGAAACCGCACTAAACGAAGCAAATTATCAATTTGACGCTTTTCCTATCTCATAAATATCTTTCATTTCTAAGATTTATTAATAAAGAAAAAACAATATTTAATGAAAATAAAACTATTGCATAGCGAGGTTCAGCCAATATCCCGGACTATAAGAAACCGGACTACTCGAGGACTTTCAAACAGCACAAAGGAAGAAAAACGAACTCATATGTATAAATTGAAAATTATTTAAAAATTTGAAACCGAACTGATCTAAGCAAATCATAAATTTGACGTTTTTCGGATCTCATAAATATCCTTAATTTCTAAGATTTGTTAATTCTTATTTATTTAATGAAAATAAAATTATTTCATAGTGCGGTTTAGCCAATATCCCGGTCTATAAGAAACCGGACTAATCGAGGACTTTCAAACCGCATAAAGAAAGAAAACAAACTTTTATGTATAAATTGAAAATTATTTGAAACCGCACTAATCGAAGCAAATTATCAATTTGACGAAATATCCTTATTTTCTAAGCAATACTTTACATAGTGCGGGTAATCTGTTTTTAGAAACCGGACTAATCGAGGACTTGAAAACCTTATTAAAATAAAGATACATAAAAAGAGGTTTGATTACATAAAAGGGAAAGAAAATATCATTTGTATAGTAATTATTATATATAGAATTTGTATGTATCAATCCGGACTAATCGAAGCATCATTACATGAGATAATGCAGCAATTAATTTAATTTTAAAAAATCAATCAATTTTCATGAATCTTTTTTAAAGTACAAATATTGTTATTTCTTGTAGGATCAATGTGAAATGGTTCTTCTTGAACGGTACTATGGATTGGGATGAGCTGATCATCAATATCATCGAAGAACCGTCATCGGCCTGTTACAACATCAGCGTTGGAGTGAAATTGTGGCCCCATTGCGCCGATATACAGAATCCCGATGATTGTTACGAAACTTGCGGGATTTCGACGGGTGGAGCAGTCAGCGTTGAACACATGTAAGTCAATATTATTTATTTTCTTAAACATCATCAGCGTTAACTTTCCAAGTAAATCAATTTCAAATAAATTAAATGATAACAAGTACACTTGTATTCAAGGATTACCTGCAAATACATCTTTATACCAATTACTTAAATTTCTAAACTAATTGCCAAGAAAATTGCCTTCAACAAATATTACTTGTGCTAATAACATTGAAATTCTTATTATAATAACTTTTCGAGTTACATTAGTTTTTGTCTATTTTTGTCTAAAAAATTATATGAATTTCGACTTACGACACTCAGAACGTCGTAAGTTGAAAAACTACTATACTTTATATACAAATCTTATAAAAAAAACATTTTGTATAACAAAAAGACATTTTGTGTTTGCTAAATTATTCAATATCATTAACAAAATATGAAAATATTTAAGCATTAATTTATTACTTTTTTTATATCAAATTTACAGCTAACAAATTTACTTAATGTCCTTTTTGTGATAGATCGTAAAGAAAATACATAAATCCGTTATTAATTTATTAAAATGTGTTTTTTTCTATAATAATTAACGGATTTATTAAAAAAAACGTATGTTTCATTTCATTAATATAAAAGTAACGAAAATGTCAAGAAGCAATTAAATAATATGTTTACAAATAACGTATTTATTCTTATACAGATGTGCTCCAAAATATGGCCTTGATAATGTAATAAATAAACGAAATGTGTATCAAATTAATGTAATTTCTTTCTACGATAATTGATATTAATTACATTACAAGTAATACTTCATTTGTCTTCATTAGGGTAATAATTATACTAACCCGAAATATCTATAATTTGTTTGTTTGTAAATTGTATTTAATTCTAACAAACCAAATATTTGTCCACCAAATTTTCTTGAAATAAAAAATACTTATTACTAATATAGATGTAAATATTAATACAAAACCTTTAATAATTAAAGTGAGCTTTATTATATACATGAATTTAATTTATAACTCATAAAATTTATAAGTATTTTTTCTATATCATTATTAAACCTTTAAAACTTACGAATTTTCAATCCAAAGTACGCGCTACTTGTCAAGTAAATGTACATAACCACTTGAACATATTTTATCCTGCCCAATGTCTACAATTTGTAGGTTGGCTGCTGTCTTGTAGGTTAACTTTAGTAGTATATTGATACTCTGCGATTCCACTTGTCTGTGTATCTGCTGCTATCCTTAACACTGTCATTGTCCATCGACTTGGCTGAAGGTCCATATGCTAAACCTCATTCATTTCACTGTCCTATTGCTGCAAAGGGCCTGGTTTGACCAGGATTCGAACCGGCGCCCACGAAATCGTGGATAGGTTAAGTCAACCATTCGGCTATTAGTCGCCCTAAATAGAACAGAATTATCTCCCAAATTGTTATAATTCTAAAGTAACTACGAATTAAATTTACTCATAAAACTTACAATTTTTTTATCGTTCAACATGCGTATGATATATTGGATTTTGCAATTTCCAGTTTAAAATCGAGTTCAATTTTATTTTGTATTTTTTTTTTGTCGACTACATTCTTCCGTCCATAGGAAATTGCCGTCCGTTATGTAAGTGATATTCGAGCAAATATTGTCGCACGCTCGTATATATTTTTTTACAACCGTTTACATCGTCGCAATATTTAATTATGAGTTCGTACTGAGTAAATATAAATTTGCAAATATTGTGTGAAATACAAGAGAAAAATATTAATTAATGAAATGATAATAATTACTATGAATGAAGAGATCTATGGTCAATAACCTTTTAGCAATATTTTGTAAAAATTGCTTAGATAAATTCTTGTCCAGTTCCACGTAACATTCATATTTTCCTATATGGATTCTAAAATTTCAAACTTCAAAAAACGGACTATAGTAGTGAATACGGACTAAACGAAACCGTACTATTTATGTTTCTCAATTAACTGTTTAAACCCGGACTATAGCAGAAAAGAATGCGGACTAACCGAAGCTGGACTATGCGAGGTATTGCTTTATGTTGTTTACTTTTAGATACTATTTATATTTTCGTTGCACAATTAGAACTTAGTTTGTTTTGAAATTTTTAAACCCGGATTATAGCAAAAAATAATGCGGACTAATCGAAGCTGTACTATGCGAGGTATTACTATATATTGTTTATTTTTAGATACTTTTTATATTTATGTTGCTCAATTAAGTCTTAGTTTGCTTTGAAATGTTTACACTCGGACTATAGTAGGAGTCAATTGAAGCCGTGCTATATGAGGTATTGTTGTATTTTGTTTACGTTTAGATACTATTTATGTTTCTCAATTAAATCTTAGATTGCTATGAACTATTTAAACCCGATCTATAGCAGAAAAGAATGCGGACTAATCGAAATCGTACTAAGCGAGGTATTGTTGTATTTTGTTTACGTTTAGATACTATTTATGTTTCTCAATTAAAACTTATATTGCTTTGTATTATTAAATCCCGGACTATAGCAGAAAAGAATGCGGACTAATCGAAGCCGAACTATACGAGATATTTATCTTTTTAATGTTACTTAATTAAAACATACCTTGCTTTGAAATTTTAAAACCTGGACTATACTTGGAGTGAATGCAGACTAATCGAAGTCGTACTATGTGAGGTATAGCTGTATTCTGTTTACGTTTAGATACTTTTTAAATTTCTCAATTAATACTTACAATGCTTTGAACTGTTTAAACCCAAACTATAGTAGGAGTCAATGCGGACTAATTGAAGCCGCACTATATGAGGTATTGCTGTAATCTGTTTGCGTTTAGCTACTATTTATGTTTCCCAATTAAAACCAAGATTGCTTTCAACTGTTTAAACCCGCACTATAACAGAAAAAAATACTGACTAATCGAAGCCGTACTATGCGAGGTATTGCTGTATTATTTTTACGTTTAGATGTATGTTTCTCAATCAAAACTTAGATTGTTTTGAACTGATTAAACCTGGACTATAGTAGGAGTCAATTCGGACTAATCGAAGCCGTACTATGCGAGGTATTGCTTTATATTATTTTCGTTTAGATTCTTTTTATAGTTATGTTGCTCAATTAAAACTTAGTTTACTTTGACATTTTTAAACCCGGACTATATTAGGACTGAATGCGGACTAATCGAAGCTGTACTATTGTTGTATTCTGTTTACGTTTAGATACTATTTATGTTTCTCAATTAAAACATATATTGCTTTGTACTGTTTAATCCCGGATTTTAGCTGAAAATAATGCGGACTAATCGAAGTTGTACTAAGCGAGGTATTGTTGTATATTGTTTACGTTTAGATACCTATTTGTGTTTCTCAGTTAAAACTTATATTGCTATGAACTATTTTAACCCGGACTATAGCAGAAAATAATGCGGACTAATCGAAGCCGAACTATACGAGATATTTCTGTATATTGTTTACTTTTAGAAAAAATATATATATTTTTAATATTACTCAATTAAAACATACCTTGTTTTGATATTTTCAAACCTGGACTATACTAGAAGTGAATGCAGACTAATCGAAGTCGTACTATGTGAGGTATTGCTGTATTCTGTTTACGTTTAAATTTATGTTTTTCAATCAAAACCTAGATTGTTTTGAACTGATTAAACCTGGACTATAGTAGGAGTCAATTTGGACTAATCGAAGCCGTACTATGCGAGGTATTACTTTATATTATTTTCGTTTAGATTCATTTTATAGTTATGTTGGGAATTGCTGTTTTTTGTTTACTTTTAGATACTTTTTATATTTATATTGCTGAATTAAAACTTAGTTTGCTTTTAAATTTTTAAACCCGGACTATAGTGAGAATTAATGCGGACTAATTGAAGCTCCGTAGGTGTAAATTTTGGTTTAAAGCAAAATGTATATGTTATTGAAACCAAAAACGCATACCATAATAGTAAACAAAATAAACATAAATATTTAGTGTGCATGAATATAAACGAGACTCAATTTCTCCATTGCATTTCCACATGGAACGAACACTAAAAGTATATGCTTTACTAGCAATATTCCAGTGTCACGACCAGTTGCATTCGCAGTTGTTTATCATCCGTACGTGAATGCATTTTCTCTACCATCCGTTTCGAAATGCACTAGAGGCGAAATTTACTTTTCTGCATGGTACGAATACAACAACTTCGACCGCCAAAAACAAGCGAGAATTTATTACGTAAGCGCTTACTGCAGTCCACCCCTCCCACAAAATGACCGAACACTAAATTGTTTAAATTGCGCACTTCGAACGACGGCCGTGGATTAAACGTTAGAATTATTAACGAACTTAAAATGGGAATAGGTCTATTTGCATTCGTGATTTATTGAAATAATTGGTAATGGAATACTGCGAATTTGTAATAATCAAACTTATTATTACAATTGTCAAATCAAAGAATTATTTCATTTTTGCATATTTTTTTGGTGAATGCGCCAGATACATATACATAAGAAAATATAAGTAAATTGTATACTTCAGTAAACGAATAATGAAGAAAACTTATTGAAAGTTTGTAGTAATTAAGTTATTAGATTAATTAATATATAAAATATAACAAAATCGTTTATTTTAGTAAATTTTCTTATATTTTAATAATGAATGCTTTAAGAATCGTTACAAGTTTTCTTCAAATGTTATAATTAACTTATAATTGACATAAAAAGTTAATTGAATAAATTTAAATTTTTGTTTAAAAAATGGTAAATGTTTTTTTATAGAATCTGTACAAAATGACTTAAAATATAATAATTAAGTTATTATAATTGATACTTCCTAATAATCCATTTTCCATTTAGTATATTATTTTATAACTATTTTTTTGAGGGGAATCTGTTCAAAATAGCCCAAAATATAGTAATTAAGTTATAAGGTTATAAGTTATAAGGCAAATGTAGATATAAGATATTAATTTGTCGAAGGATGAGTTGACAAAATTGACACATTAAAATATAACAAAATCGTTACAAGTTTTCTTAAAATGT